ATTCAGTTATATTTTACATCATCATTCACATCAAACAGTAAGTGGTATAGTTACTTTGACCAAGATGCTAAACGATTCAATAAATTGTTTTTGTTTAGATAACAAAACTGGAAGACAAGAAGACACAGAAACACTACTAGAAATTGTGTCAGTTAAACAAAAATTGATTGACATGAAAACATGCCTATAGATAAAAATTCCTCTTAGGCACTTTTCTGGAAGAAACCTTATAAAGAAAAATAGGATTGACTATTGGACTTATATAATCCAACCAAAAGGAATGAAAGGAAAGCAAAACATTCAAAGCAGCATCACTCCTGTCAATTCATTCACACGGCCTACCTCTATATAGGGTGGCACCCATCAGAAACGAAACACACATCCAAAATTACAAAAAAAGGAGCATCCAAAACCTAGTACAGTCGCAGAACCAAGCAACACAACACAACCAGAAATAACAGCATATCCAATGACCCAAGATGTCAGATGAGCCTGTTCAGAATCTCTCTGGATGATTAAGTGACAAATCACCACCTTCCGGCTGGGCAGGCGTCGAAATGCGCCGATTTACAACGAAAAAATTCAAAACAAATCTTTCGGATGACATTTTTAAATGCGATTAAAAAAAAGAAAGAAAGAAAAGAAAAAAAAGGACGAAAATCGGAGATCGCGACTGTTAATTGCGGCCTTCGAGTATTAGCTTATCGATACAAAACGAACAATAATTTACTGTTTAAGAATTTTTTTGTCTGGCGATCTTCGATGAACCGAACGCATCGCGCTCGGAGTAATCGGAAACTGAAAGCGTAAATGCCGTCGTCTGAATACGGCAAAATTAATTGAAAATTAAACACGCATTGGTAAATTAGGAAGCAAAATTTGCATTAAGTAGTAGTTAAATACGTTAATAAAATAGAATAGTAAATCGCGTAGCATTTCGCTGAGAAGACATGGAAGCGATTATAAATGAAAATCCGACGGAACACATCCCGACGCTATAAGGCGACGCGATTAAAACTCGTATTACGATGCGATCTTCTCGATTATTATTAACATTAAAACAACGTACGATTGTCGGATAATAAGATAAAACTTGGAAATATTTGTTCACCTTCGAACAGATTCTCGACTCCTCGCAGCCAGTAGTAGATGATGCTCGACGGTCGACGGTGCTGCACCACCGCAAAATACGACGCTGACTATTTTAAATATAAATTTATTCTATGAACTCTTTCTTCTTTAGTTTTATCGGAAAAATTCTCTAAACTAATCGGAAATTTAAAATCTACGCTCAGTTTTATTTTCCTTCGTATAATTCGAGTGTTAAATTTCTTTAAAAAAATCACAATAAAACAAAAATATATATTTCCGTCTATGGGTGAACGGTAAAATAATCGGAGAGAAACAAATAATCGATATTAGAAGGACTAAAAATGATTGATTTCCCATTTCGAAACGCTGTATACGATCCTAAAGGTGCCACAATTAGCAGATGACAAAAAATCACGCTTCCCAAATTTTATTTCTCTTCCCATACACTTATTAAGCCAATGATGTATCTTTCATAGAAAATAGACGAAGTTGATTGAGTTGATTGAAGAATTATCTAATAAACAGTTTCCGGATTGTGCACTAGATTCAAACGATACAAAAATAGAAATGTTTTAAAATGTTTTATTTCTCGATATTTTTAAACTTTATTTAAGCGCGTCCGATGGCTTCTCGGATGCCCACCAATGGCCGAGTCGATAAAACCAATTCGCGCCTCGCCATCGGATTGGCCATGTGGAGTTTTCCGGGTTTCTTCACGTCTGTAACGCCTGAATAAGAGCCAGTTGCCTTTAAAATGACCTCCCGAAAGGCATCCTCTAGGCAGATCGCCCAAGTATTGCGTTGCCATAACTTAATACAACAACATTAGTCGAGTTCAAATTGGTAGTCGCCATTTGTGATTATTTTACTATACATTAAATTAATTTAATCTCCAAAATGTCAAAAAAACATGTGTTTACTGATGAATTAAAAAAGAATTATTCAGTTTTGAAAAAAGTTTATGATCGTATTGACAAAGTCAAATATGAATTAGGCTTTTCAGAATTTTCAGTAACTCGTGGTGGGCGTTCGGACATTACAAATCAGAGCTGTGGAGTGAAGAAAAATTTGTCGACTCAGGCATTTTAAATTTGATTCAGTTTCCTCGCGTTTTTTTATGCAGCGCTCGAGAAGCGCTTTACAGCGAACACACTGAAACTGGTTTCTAATTGGTCAATACTGCTTGTGACGTCATTTCGCTACACTCTCGCTGCATAAAAAAACGCGGGTTTTTTTTTATTTAAATAAAAGAAAATTTATTTTATACTTAATAATTTTTTAAAATATATTTGTATCTTGTTATAATTCATTTATTTTAAATACAAAATGCAACAATGTAATTTATTAAATATATATCAACAGTTTCCTTTGTAGTATTTGTGTTTAGTAGTTAAATTATTTTGACCCAATTGAATTTGAATATTATTGATTCATTCCTTTCTTATCACCGCTCTAAATAAGTACTCTATTTTTCTGAATAAACCAGACTAATTGATTAAAGTACATATTTTTCTTTTCTGAGCTAGGGGCTTTTATTAAGTCTTTCCGTCCTGTAGGCATTAATAGGACATCTTTAAGCAAGCCCTTTATGGGTTTGGCTAGATCCACAATGGGGCGACCGGGTGATGACGGACGGGACCCAACATATACGGACCACCCCGAAAAATTTTTGTGGATTTCCCAACACGTCCGGATTCGATCCCGGTTCCCCAGAGCGATAGGCTGCAAGCTTGCCCGCTCGGCCATCCAGCCTACAGAACAAAGAGCTGAAGTAGCTAGGTGACATATTTTTTAGTTGAATTAACTTTCCTGGAAAAGTGAAATTGACGTGCAAAAGCTGTAGAATAAAGATGTAGATGTAGAAATTTATCGCCCTCTTTTTCCTCTTATTAAATATTTGTAAAAAATTAATTTTTTTATACAAATAAATATTAATGTTATTAAATATTAAAAATACTAACTATAACAGTATTTGTGTAAATGCCCGAGGCTCCTTTCAGAGTTTAGAGCAGAAGACCCCCTATGAGCTTAGTGGCATAACGAACATAACTGGCGCCCGGGGCACGACACTTTATTGGCGCCCCCTTCCCAGAAACACATATAGTTTGTCTTGGAGACCATTTGGGCTCCCCTCTGAGAGTGGCGCCAGTGAATGATACGCCTTACACTCCCTCGCTACGCTACTATATAAGCGCCTCTGCCCCCACAAAATGACTTGGTTTTTAATTTTGCCGGAGTCGGTCTACTAAAATTATCAGGAGTTGGAGTCGGAGTTGAATCTTTTTTACCGACTCCGCAGCCCTTTTGCAAATTACTTGAAATGTGCGAAACATAAGGCAAGCCTAATAGCAACGGAAGGAACTTCCTCAAATATATTGTCATATTTTAAAAGTACCGATTTATTTTCTGTTTTGAGTAGTTTCTCAAAATTGTCCCGGTTTGAGAAAAAAATATTATGGTAAGCCTATATTATTTATAGGACTACACAGTTCTTCCGCTTTAATCAGAAAGTCCTCCTTTTTAATCTGCTTTACGTTTAACATTTTTCCGCCATCAGATTTCGCTCCGTAAGAAAAGAAAATACTCTCTCTTACTTCGTCTCCAATGCAGCACTCACTTAATCCTTGCGAAATGTCAAATGTAATCCATTCGTAACACCGTACCACGAACATAAAATTCGAATATTGGTTCGATTATAGAACTTTATAGAATTTTATGTTCGAATTAAATTCGAACATAAAATTCGAATATTGGTTCGATTATAGAACGATTGTAAACGTTCCAGAAACGTTGAAAATAGTTCGTTTGAATAAACGTAAAAATTCTTTAATTAGTCTGGAAACGGGGGACCTAATTCTTGCATTCTGTGAAAACGGGTAAGATTGGCTATAATGTAATTATCTTAATCTTCACTATCGTTACTTTTTGCCCAACGAAGCGGGTCCTTGCAGCTAGATTCTAGATTACTTAGAAAAACAGTCTTTTATATATATATAAAAAACTATAATACATACAAATAAAAACCCAGCGAAGCGGGTCCTTGCAGCTAGTATATATATAAAAAAGGAAGTGTGTGTCCCTATATTTCACTTTTCCGCCAAAACTACACATAGCACGTGAATGGTGTTTGTATGTGGTAGTAGCCCCAAATCTCCATTCGTGCACTATGGTGGTTGCGTCTCGATAGCTATAAGGGTGCGGGAGATATTGGATTGGAAGTGGTTGATTTCGAAGATTTTCTATTTCGATTTTTAAAATGTTCGAACCGTTTTAAATTCGAATTTGTATTGGAATTGGTTCGATTATAGAACGATTATAAACATTCCAGAAAATTGATCAAATTGAAAATAGTTCGTTTGACTGGACGTAAAAATTTTCTAATTAGTTTGGAAACGGGGGATCTAATTCTTGCATTCTGTGCTATAAGGGTGTGGGAGATATGGGTTGAAAGTGGTTGACTTCGAAGATGGAAGTATCAACAATGGAACTTATGGAACTGTTGAGTAACAAAGGAAGTGTTAATATAAAGCGGCATGCAAGATTTACAGGCGATGTTTTGCGGTTTTTCGGAAAATAGAACATATTTTTAGACTTATGTAAAAATTCTCTGATTAGTCTGGAAACGGAGGACCTAATTCTTGCATTCTGTGAAAACGGGTAAGATTGGCTGTAATGTAATTATCTTAATCTTCACTATCGTTACTTTTTGCCTAGCAAAGCGGGTCCTTGCAGCTAGATTCTAGATTACTTAGAAAAACAGTCTTTTATATATATATATATATATATAAACTATATTACATACAAATAAAAACCCAGAGAAGCGGGTCCTTGCAGCTAGTTATTTAATAAAAAATCTTTTTCTTCGATAAACTTTCTTACAGAAAGTTATAGAATATTTCGTTTTTCAACGAGATTGTTCATGTTCTGACTACATTTTCTTGAACGTCTATCGATATATTGGATGCAGTTGTCGAATAAACACAGTTTCTATGTATTCGAATTTTTATACATATTTTAATTTATAAAAATAAATTATAACTGATAAAATTACGTACACTAAGAAGGAAAACTACTATTTCAGAAAAACAAAATCTACGTATACAAACGCATTCATTTTTGGCGTACGTTTGACGTTTTCTCGACGAATGAGCGAGTGAATTCGGCTTATTTGACAAGTTGGCAATTGGTATCGGTGTCGTCGGTTATTTATCAACAACTCGGAATTTGATTTCTGTGTCCTCGGATATCATACAAAGTTTATTCAACATGAAGATGGCCGATGGAACTAATATTTTGAGGCGTAACAGGCCGGGAACGAAAGCCGAGGTACTTAATAATTTCCTCGTAAATCATAAATACTGTCGTTTCTTTATTTCGTAGAAGTACATCGGTAAATGCTATCTGTTTGAAATTTTTCATTAATAAAATGAAATTAAATCGATAAAGTTACGAATAGAGTAAAAAAACGGAAAATACAATTGAACAATGGTTTAATGTGGTATTGATGGTGGTAATTATGCGATTAATGTGCTGTACCATAATTTGTTCTGGTTAAGAAATTTTGACATTAGTTAACTTATTGCTAGAATGATCAACTTAGACTGTCATTTTGACAGTCAAGACTTTTCGAGTTATTATATTCGTTGCATTTCTTATATATTTTCGACTTACTAGAATATATTTTTAATGAATGAATGTTTTGAATTGAATGTTTCTTTGGAATAATTATGGCAAAAAAAGCAATATATAAATTGTGAAAGAAAAGTTAATAACATTTTTATAAGGTATTGATTGTCATCTGTTTGATGTTGTCCATAAGTGATGTCATGCCTGAAAGGGCAGGGGGAGTTTAAGAAATATGACAATCTATGACAAGGAAGGGATTTTAGGACAGTGTGATGTCACTACTTACTAAATATACAATTTGGATTATGGGTGGATGTTGTATAATAAAATTGCATGAATTAATTGTTGTATGCCTTGGTGCGCTTTTATTCTGCAACTCTCTGTATTGATATTGCAAAACAACTTGGATACATCACTCACTAGGGGCATTTGCTTGGGAATAATATACCCTCACACATATAATCCATAAAGGGTGAGCAGTAGGCAAAAGGAGACTAGAATCTTACAAGTTACCTATCCAGAAGTTTTCTTTACACCATCCTGTACAGACTTGCATCTATCTCCTGTACTCCTTTGCTTCAGACACACACACATCCCTGTTCCAGCACACTTCTGCATTCTTGTTCTGACTCAACACCTTATGTTCTCTCAGATACTCTTCCATTCTTCCAACCAAGATTTTCTCAGCCTTTTCCTGCTGTGCTTCCTATCCATTTTCCCCATTTTTTCCATCATATACTCTTCAACAGCTCTTTCATTCTGTCAACGTGGCAAACTATTGTAGGGCCAATTCCTCCACCATTTCGACCATATTCTCTTCCAGCACTTATTCATTTCTCAGTCTCTCCTTGTAATACCTCACATTCTTCTTAAATACCTCACATGCAGTAATGTGACTCCTGTAACTTTTCTGCTAATTACATACATATTGTACATACATATGTAACTTGATAATTCATCATGTCCAGGAGTGGTGATAAATTATGGAAATTGATCAGTTATAGAAAACTCTAGGAACTACAGTAGAGCATCGATTATCTAAATTACTTTAGGACTGGGGTTGTTTGGAAAATTGATTTTTCGGATAACCGATTATGTACGAAAAAATATATTAACCTATTCCATGTTGAAATTCATTCAAATCCTGGCATGTCCTTAAGTATCCTCTCATGGTTGCACCAGTGCTGCCAGTTAAAACACGCACACCAACAAAAATAATATTGGAGTAACCCAAGACATAGCCAAAGAGTGCAGCATTATAGCACTAGCGGAAATTTAAATTTGCCGACTGGAAAGCTTTTGGTTAATTGACGTTTTGGTTGATTAATATTCGGATAATCAATGCTCTACTGTATAATTAAAACGTATTTTGAAATACTTTTGTAGTTTTAATTAATGCAATATGTAACTTATAACCTAGTTTTTACAAAAAATTTTGGAATACATTTTATCAAAGCTAAGAATATAACTTAAAAAAATACCTTACATACTTTAAATCTTGCCAGAATGTTATATAAAGACAAAAGAGCATTTTTTGTGTGTGCATATTACATTTTAAAAAACTGCATGTTTTTTTAACTTTTTTTGTGCATTCTTTTGTGATTACTAAGTTCACATGCTACATTGTGATTAAGTTTGGAATTTCTCTCCTATTTTGCTGTTCGTATCCTTCGATGCATTTTGATAACATTTCCTAGACTTCTTTGCAATTAAAATGTCAAGAATTAGATATGTCATCTTTGTCATCGTCATCTTTATCTGCTTCTTCATTGTTTGTTCTTGTTCGTTACTTGTTCTATTATTTCATTGTTGTTCAAAATTTCATATTCCAAATCCAAGCTACATTTACATCATGCTGTTCTATTTGAAAAGTGTTATACATCATGCAGCAATAGGTCATGTACTTTTCAAAACCAATACATGGAACTATTATTGGGCTTATGGATACATAGCTTCCAGTTTCATTAGTCATACTGTGTTTAAATTGTTTAAAATTTGTTTTTACTTATTTAGATATTATTGAAATGCCAGTTAATTGTTGTGCCTTGGTGTAATGCCAATAATAAAATATGTCCAGGTTTGAAATTTCACAAATTTCTGAATGATCCAATAAGAAAAAAAATAGAAAGTAAAGATAAAAATTCTAAAAAAAAGTCAATCAATAAACTTGGATCTACATCAGACATTTAATTGAAAATAATTATGAAGTTACTAGTATTGGCAAGTTTATAGTAGTAGATTTGTGTGTTTGTGCTGGCAGTACCTGGCGTTGATATGTTGTGTGATCATGTACATGTTTATGGTGCCTCCACTGAGATGGCTGCTGTCATTTTTGTTGGCCATAATTTCTTATTTTTCATTAGGTTGTTTTAGTGAAAATTTTTCTTGTCCCAATACCCGACAGCACTCAAAATATTTTATTTTAGATCCAAAATGCATGAATATTGCAGATTGAATTGTTGAAATACATTTCAGAAAATATCTACCAATAGATGATGTTCTTAGTAGAATTATGAAACTGGTAAAAATCATCATGGCAATTACATAATAATAAAGCAGAGTCAGAACGGTGCTTTTCAACATTGTAAACAATATAAACTTTTATAAGGTGCACTATTTATCCTGGAAAACTAGATGCACTGTAGTGCTTTCAATTGAAAAAATTCTGGCAAATGTTGACCTGTTGTCTGCAAATACTAGGATCAACTTTTACACAGATCTATGGACTTTTACAGAGATTCAGTTGGAAGCAGTTAGTCAATACAGTTAACTACTGTTAAACATTTATCTAATCAAGTCAAAAATCATTTATTTATGTAATGAAGGTGAGCCCAGATAAAAGGGAAGTACAGGTATCCCTCATACAACATGGTACTTCTACAACACACTTTTGCTCTTCTAACACGGTTTGGGAAACTCTCCATACAAATTTTCACATTTTAAGTGTAAACTCCATTATTTGATATTTTTTTTTATTGAAGAAAGCATGTGTGTTGTCCAAAATTTGTCCACAAATTTTAGAAAATTTAAATTTTTAATTTGTTTTATGCTTTCCTTGATTTACTTTAATGAAAATTGATAGTACAATTTTTTCTTTCTTATCCTAAATTTCCTATCAACCAGGTGTTCTTGTCGTTACTTTCAGACTTTAGCCCTTAAGATTGTCACTGTGTTTGGATTTTATTGATTAATCTTTGTATTTAGTAAAGTGTAATTAAATATTTTTAGGTATGTACTATTAAAGTTTTTTTAACCATAGGTAAGTAATCATTCACAAAAATGACAAACAAAATATGGTGGTATCTTGGTATCCGAACTGTTCTGAACTGGAACAATTTGGTATTTGAGCACAAATTGTGAAAAAAATCGCTCAGTACTCAACTAAACAAACACCACCTGCTAGAACAGATTATTGATTAATAACATATTTTTATTTTATCATCCATAGAAAATTATGATAAAAGTAAAAAATGAAGACGACGATAATATTTCTGATCAAGATCAACTAAAAAGCTGAGACGACAATGATACTTTGTAAAAAGAAAACACCCCCATTTAACTAAAATTAATATAAACAGTACTTTTAATTGTGTTTGTTAGTTAATTATTGATTGGAAATAAAGTACTGATTACTTTAATAAACATATTTCCTTAGTAACCAAAAAGAATAGTATACTTGTACTTTTTGTTAACACCTGGAACCTAACCCTATGTTTTGCATTGGTCCTTTGTTTTGTATAACATGGATTCTCCTAACACAGCAGTTTTTTGGAACATATCTACTGTTTTATATGAGGGATACCTGTACTACAATCAAAATAGTTAACAAATAAATATTATATGTAATTAAACTTTTGAATTCATCATAAATATGAAATTTAAACATTAACTATGCATAGCATTTATTACATACTAGCAGGCCCCACCATGTGTTGTTGTGGCTCAAAATGTATCTATTATAAATGTATAACACTTCCCCCATGGGGGGAAATTTTTCGAAAAATCCCTTCTTAGTGTACATTCTCTTGACGTACCCTATTAAAACACAATCAAAAATGCAAAAAACTGCATCTAAAATAGTATAAATAGAAGCAGAGTTTGTTACAGTAAGCCTGAATCCTGTCCATCTCCCCCCTCAGTGGGGGGGATTTCAACATGTGTATTATATAAAAACATGTGCATATTCAAATGCAACATTGTGTCAAAGTTTCAAAGGAATTGATAGGAACAAATGAGCGTTACATTTTTATTTATATAGATAGAAGATGATCTGCTTTACTTCATCCTCACAGAAAAGCAAACTTAGATTGTCGTACTTGCAGAGTTAGCATCATCTGTTGGACATAAAAGCCTTAATCCTAGATGATATCTTTTAATTTATATGAATGTTTAACAGAATAACATACAGCCTATGTCCACCCTGAAGTTCCATTTTAAATATTGATGAAAGAGTTTTTGAAATCTTATGAGTAGTTTCAGATATTACCTCATACATTCAAACTTACAAATTTTACCTCTTTATAATATTAGTATAGATTTAGAAAAAAGTTAAACAATTTTAAAATAAAAATAGAGCTTGCTTTGGAAAATTAATTGATATAATTCCTACTTTGAGTTGCAAAGATAAATCACTATCTTCTCTAATGGACTCAAGTTCTCTGCATTCACAAAGTAAGTGAAAAATGGAAATTGGCTTATAA